CATCCTGGGAGGATCCTGCAATACCCTTTACTTGGTGTTCCGTTTGCTATCTGAGCTGCTTTTTCTCCTAGCATGTGCGGCTGGCCTCCAAGCCATAGAGTGAGCCTCTTGGTACTTATCTCGACTATTCTTGGATGTTAGTCTGAAACATCATTTACCTGTATCTTCAGTGAGATTTCTAAAATTCCTGTAGCTAATTTTGTTTTGTGACCTTGAACTCTGGGCCCAATGGGACCAGGAGCAGAGATCCTCTGCCTGCTTACCCCAGTCTCTGGCGACCCAGAGGTCACACCCATAAGCCACCTCCTGCTGTGCCAGATGATCTCCTCATCGGCCATCCTCCAGAACTCACAGCTGCTTCTCCTGGAAGAGAGCATAAAATGAGGCTCCCATAACCATGTCACCGGACTCTGCGTCAGGCTGTTTTCATTCTGGGCACCCCAGAGGGGGGCGGGTGAGAGCCCTTCCCACACCAAGAGACCCAGCCCTGGCAGTTGACCTCCACTACCTAAATGCCACCATGCTCCAGACCGCTTTCCACATGTTCGGACCGAGACTCACATATGAGTGAACATATTCCTGGACTGCTTGGCTGCGAAAATCACATCATAAGGCACTCCCTACCCATTTTCCATAATTACCACACCATACTTGATGGGGTTCAGACAGTAGGCAACAAACCATATATATGTATATATAGATAATATTTCCCATGGAGAGACCAGCAAGCTACCAAGAGTATCCCACCCGCACGGAAGAATACTTGTGGTGCATTCAGTATGCCAAAAAGAGTAACAATAACAGGTCTCATTCCCTGACCCTGAAAAAGTCTTCAATAAGGCAGTGTTGGGAAAGACAAGTAAGGACAGGCTGCTAAAATCTTAGGGCTAGGACAAATGGAGACGTTACTGGCACCCGCTCAAGGAAATCAATGAACAATGGGATGACAGTGATACAGTGACACAGTGATACAGTGAATTTTGTCCTTCAAAAGGAGAAGGGAAAACTATGACCAGTTTTTCTGTGAATGCTACCTCACCTATTTGCCTGGGCCAAAGAGTAAAACAGCAATTTTGACATTTTTATGGAAAATATTTGCTCGAGCATGCACCAGCAATGACACCAGTGTGAGATTTGTTGTTACTGGTTTGGGCATATTATACTATTGGTAGTTTGGGCTGGAATATAGGCTGGAGTGATAGCACAGCGGGTAGGGCGTTTACCTTGCACATGGCCAACCCAGATTAGATTCCTCCGTCCCTCTCGGAGAGCTCAGCAAGCTACCAAGAGTATCCCGCCTGCATGGCAGAGCCTGGCAAGCTCCCTGTGGTGTATTCAATATGCCAAAAATAGTAACAACAAGTATCACAATGGAGACGTTACTGGTGCCCACTCAAGCAAATTGATGAAGAACGGGAGGACAGTGCTATGGAAAATATGCATACCTGTTTCAAGGAAATGAGATGCTAGAAGATTGAATTGCACTTCAGCTTTTTTTGGCCCCCATTCTTCTGATAACCCTCTAAGATGTTGATTGAGGCTGCTTTAAAGATAATTCCAGAATAAATAGAGGGTAATTGTTTGAGTCATATTGTCAATGGTGGTGATAAAGACTAAGATTTTGGAATTAGATCAGGGACCAATGAATGGCCCTGCACTATTCTACTTTCCTCGGCTTTATCACCAATAAAAACACACACTGAGTTTTTTCAAATTATATAGTGGGGATGATTAAAGAAGATTAAATACAAAATTCTTAGTAAAACTTTAACGCCATCATCAATATTTTAATAAACAGAAATTTTCTGAGCCAAGTATTGCTATAATTTACATTTCACAGATAAAGAGCCTGAAACTTTTAAATTTTAGAGAATCTAAAGTGCACTTCCAACAAGGGTATCGTCTAGGTCATTGTATAGGATAAATATGAAAATAAGTTGTTTGACTCCAGAGACTTAGTTCTTAACTATCTCACATAATTGCCTTCAAATCTATTTCTCACCATGTATAAATGTGCGTGATTGGTCAAATGGAGAAAACATGGATTTTTCTCTTGATTTTAATTTTTGGTGGGATGCTGCTCAAGCAGTACTCAGGAGGCATGATGGAGTCGGGGCGGGGGGCACTAGCAATTCTTTGACAACTGGATTAGTAGGGTCAATGCAAGAATCTGTGGGATCAATGCTACTAGGGTTTTGTGGTATTGTAGATACTCGGGAATCTTTAGAGTCACACCTGGTGGTGCTGAGAGGACTCTACAGCTGCACCTGGTGATGCTCAGGGAATTATGTGGCACTGGGAAACCAACCATGATCAAGTGCATGACTATCATATACACACTTCTGTGCCACATTCTCCTTTCCCTTGTTTCCCTTATTTTTTCTTTTACTGTCCCAGCGATGAGACCTAGGTCTCACACGAAAAAGGCATCTTTTTTTCTGGTCGATTCACATCCCTGGCCAGATTTCCTTTATTTTATTTATTTGGCTTTTTCGATCACACACAGCGATGCTCAGGGGTTACTCCTGACTCTGCACTCAGGAATTACTCCTGGCGGTGGTCGAGGGACCACATAGGATGCTTGAAATTGAACCCGGGTCGGCCGCATGCAAGGCAAATGCCCTACCCGCTGTGCTATCGCTCCAGCCCCATTTTTAATATTACTCTTAAAAAAGTTTAGCTTTGACAGATAAATGATACATTGGAAGATGAAAGTGGATCACAGTTTAATACAGTAATTGGATCCATTTTTCTTGCAATGCTCCCTGTTTACTTTTTATTTTTCAATTTTCTGAAGTTAAGAAATATTCTAGTTTATCATTGGACCAGCCAGAAAAGCACTGTTGCGTTCTCGTTATATTTAGGGACTCTGAATCCAGATATCTTAATTTAAATCTTATTTTTTTCTATGTATTAGGTATGTATCCCTCTATTCTTCAGTTCCCTTATTAATATAAAGATGATAATATACAATACATAATGGTTTTTTTTTTTTTTGGCAGGGACTGTCAGAGATGGAGCATATAACCTTTTGCATGAGAAACATGCACTTAAATACTGACTCACTCCCTGGGATTGTATAGTGCTTTTGTTATTTTTTTTGTTAATTTTACTTTTGATTTTTAACATTTTAATTGAGGTACTTAGATTTACAATACTATTAATTATATTGTTCTAGGAATACATCGTTTCAACTATTGTTATCTTTTATCATTCTATTGAGGGAACATTAGTTGAACATTAGTTTAAATGTTATTATGATTTAGTAATATAATATTTTCACATCACAATCACTGCCAAAGAACCGATATCTATTTACCACAGTCTAATTGAACCACAGTCTCATCCTCATCCCTTGGTAACTTTAGTTTCATGTTTCAAGTCTAAAAGTTTATATATTATGTAGTAATAATATAATATTATGTTCATTTTCTGAACTTTATTTCTGAACATAAGACAATGGAGACGTTACTGGGCCCACTCGAGCAAATCGACGATCAACGGGAGGGCCTTTAACACATAAAGAATACATCCTTCTGACCTAGGATGTTTTTAATTATAGCTATTAAATATAACTTAGAAAATACCTGTCCCTAGTGTGTAATATAGCTATTATTTCACCTGAACAAAGAGATGTCTCTTCTATATAGAAAGAATTGATATTTCAATATATGTTGCCTTTTGCAACTATTATTGTTGCTTTATTGGATGTATTATTGCCTTTGTATTGGAGGTGCCGTGAATGCTTTTGAATTTTCTATGCTAAACATTTATATCTATGTTTTCTATATCACTTAGCAAAATACTGAACATACACATATTTATTAAGTTATGAGATTATCTAAGGCACTTTATATTCCTAGAGGAAATGATTACCTGAGAAAGAGATATTTATATCTTGGAGGTTTTTATTTAATGCCCAAAGCAACCATTTTTGTCCTCTCTTCAGCCTAGTCACATTGGGATCAATTATGCTGATAAACAATATGTTCCCTGGGGTTCCTGGTTCTGAGGGACTAATAAAGTTCCTTTGTTGACATTTTCATGAACAAAAGCTAAATATATTTTTAAGAGAAGTTATACCAGAGTGACAGGTGAAGAAATTGCAATGGGAGCCTCAAACATAGTTCACCAAGCTGAAAAATGAGAAAGACAAAAGTGATGTGCTTGAATGGGATTTATGCATTGAAAAGCTTGCAATAGTTATCTTAAACTTTTTTTTTCATATTTGTGAATCAAGTAGCCGTACATTTTTCTCAGCACGGTGAAAAGAACTTCTATTTAACTTCTGGGGTTAATTTATTTCTAAGTAAATCTAGAATATCAGACTAATTAAATCGTTACTAGAAAGGAAGAGAAAATAGAGGATATGTAAATCAGGTGAAAGGAGTCAAATGTATGTATGGTGAGACAATTGTACTTTTAGTGATAAAGTTCATGCTAATTTTAATCTTTACCTGAAATGGTAACATAATATATCTTCAATGAAATGATTAAAAGTAAAACAAGAAGGATCAATCTGAAGTTCCTGCTTAGTTCACTTTTTAAGCTTATCCTAAGAATCTTTTGTGTATGTGTGTAATTAGAATCTGTATATTAAAATACTCAGAACACATAAAAAGTCATCTCTGGACATTTTTATTCTAATTTATGAGAATCTTATATAATCCAAAATACAACTTTATATTTTTAACTTTTTTCATGACACTGAACATTTTGGAAATCATCCTTTAGAACACGCATTTATGGAAGAAGACAATAAGACTAAGAGTAGGGGAAATAAAAAGTTTTATTTTTGGCTATTAAATTATAAGAGATGTTCTGGGGAGACGACTAGCATGATATACTACAACATAGGAAGAAACTATCTGGTAAATTCATGGATATCACTTGGGGTTGTTTAGATTTAAATTTAGTAAAACAACCTCAGAAGCCATCAATAGTATCTTAGTTTTTGGTGAGAAATAGAATATGTTTTACTGTGTCTTTGAAAGCATCTTTCACTTGTTTGTTTCGAAGTGTATACATGAATGGATTAAGCAAAGGGGAACTGAAGTAGTGAGTGCAGACACTACCTTATTAATGGCTACTCCTTCCTTTGATGAAAGTTTGATGTAGATGAAGATGCAATTTCCATAGCTAATGGAAACCATAATCCTATGGGAAGAGCAGGTGGAAAGGCCTTTCTTCCTTTGTTGGGCGGAAGGAAATCTTAGAATGGTTTTGATGATGTATGTGTAGGAGAGGACTACACACAGCAAAATAGTTATGAGTGTTAGCACAGCAAAAGCTGGAACAACTTTTCCTATTAACACTGTGTCCAAACAGGTTATCAGTAAAATTGGAGAGGCACCAGAGTCAAAATGATCAATCACACTGGACTCACAGAATTCTAGTTGCAGGCCCAGGCTGAGAGTTGGGAGGATAATCAATAGGCCAGCAACCCAACAAGAGAGGATGAATATTGTATAGACTTTGTTATTCATGATGGTTGTGTAGGGCAGGGGCTTACAAATGGCCACATAATGATCATAGGACATGTCAGCAAGAAGAAAAAATTTTGTCAGTCCAAAAAGGACAACAAAAAGTATTTGGGTGGCACACGCATTATAGCTGACAATATAATCTCCAGTTGTCATACTGTACAGGATTCTTGGAATACAGACAGTGGTGAATGATACTTCGAGTAAAGAGAAATTTCGGAGGAAGAAATAGATGGGCATTTTAAGATGCGAATCCAAAAGTGTGAGGGTGATGATGATGATGTTTCCAGCCACACTCAACATGTAGGTGATACACAAAAATACAAAAATTAGAACCTGTAGATACAGATCATCTGTCAATCCCAGAGGGATGAATGTTGTTATGGCTGTATGATTTCTTATTACTACCTCAAACGAAACCAAGAGGCATTTGACTAGAAGAGAGAAATGTCATTAGAATGTACCATTAGAACTTAAATTAAAACATCCAAACAAGCTAGTTCACTCATAGGCTTTACATCATCTGGAAACCCTTCTATCTATGGATCTATGCTTATAATTCCAGTTCACTGTCACTGTCACTGTCTTCCCATTGTTCACTGATTTGCTCGAGCAGACCCAGTAACATTGTGAGACTTGTTACTGTGTTTGGCATATCGAATACATCACGGAGAGCTTGCCAGGCTCTGCCATGCGGGCGAGATACCCTCCGTAGCTTGCCAGGCTCTCTGGAGGGATGGAGGAATTGAACCCGGGCTGGCCATGTGCAAGGCAAACGCCCTACCCTCTGTGCTATCGCTTCAGCCCACTTATAAATGAATGAAACAAAATCAAGAAAAACATATGTCTGATACACAGTAATCAAATTTTTGCTTAGGGATATAGATTTTGCCTTTTAGCAGGTGAAAGTTGGTTTGTAATTGAAAGTTTTTTGTAGCACCTTTTCCTTGTCAGACTTCTGAAGCCATTTAATTTTGAAATTTTATTCATTTATTTTTAATTGAATCACAGTGAGATATACAGTTACAAAGTTGTTCATGATGGGGTTTCAGTCATAAAATGTTTAACACCGTCCCTTCACCCATATACATTTCCCACACCAATGTTCCTAGTTTCTCTCCTGTCTGCCCTCCTACCCTCTGCCTGCCTCCATGGCAGGCACTTCTCTCTCTCTCTCTCTCTCTCTCTCTCTCTCTCTCTCTCTCTGTCTGTCTCTTTCTTTCCCTCTCTCCTTTTGGGCATTATGGTTTTATGGTTTGCATTGCAGATACTGAAAGGTGAAACCATTTTTTTAAAAAAGCAATTATCTGTTAATTAGTCCCTTTAATTTAATTTTGGTGCACTGATCAGTGCTCAGGGCTTACTCCTGCCTCTGTGCTCAGGGTTCACTCCTGATATGTAGTATCAGGGATTATACAGGGTTGAAAATGCCCCAAGCAATTATCTCTCTCTATTATCTCTCTTGAAGAAAAGAGATATTTAATCGTATTTAAAATATTTATCGCATTTAAAAAACTAAGCCTTTTAAAGACAAATTTTAGTGTCAGAGCACAATTGAGGAGAAGTTAGGTATTTCACATATAGCTTCTGTCTTCACATGCAAAGCCTCTTCCATTATCCTCCATCAGAGTTTTAGGTTTCTTATAATTATTACCTATACAGACATACAAAAGTTTATGGTTTACCTTGTATTTTTTCTTCTGGTTGTATATTCAATTGACTTTTAATAATTTTTATGCCTACCATCTTATATTAAATTTTAACAGAAGCACATGATTTGCAGATATTAATTTTGCTTTTGCACTCCAAAGGATCTATTAATAGGCAGATAAAAAACTTAAAATACAAAGATGCATATTTTTTGTCTGATATTAGGCTAGAACATATTTGTCTTTTAAATGTTATTTTATATTAAAAAACCAAAATGAATATATTATTTGTATGAGATAAACAAATACTTTAAAAAATATCTATCCAACACCCTCTGATGGTGAAACTGTAGGAAGCAAACTCTTACATACTAGAAGAAATACAGCTTTCCAGAGGATAATTTTACAATACCTAACAAAACTGAATGTCCTTTTCCCTTTTTTTCAAATAAAGTCACTTTCGGGAGTCTAGATCCTTGAAAGAGTACCTAAAATGCTAAGGTTTATAAAGAATCTTTGGTGTTTTAAATGGAAGTATTTCCAAGTTATTTGAGAGATGCTTTAACAAGTTTTCTGAGGCAAAATAAAGAAAATGCTTCTGAAACCTGTGTATATGCCTGGTTTAGTCCTGTTTTGGTAGACTGGGACTTGAAAAGAATGCTGAAGGAATGCTCTTCAGTATTTGCTTTCTTTGGGAACCTGATCAGCTCTGAGTTTATATTACTAAGCTTCAGAATCCATCTCAAGGTAATGGTTTAATGACTTTTTTGAGAACTGTTTGTTCTTCCTCTCAAATCACTTCCCCTACTAATGTTCCAATGGTCTCTAACTCTGCTATTTGTGTTCTTTGAATTTTGATATATGTAACTTACCCAAGCAGCACCCAGAAACAAACGAACATGTAAAAGCCAATCTTTGTAAAGTCTCCTACCTTTCTTTTTTCTTTTTTTTTAAATTTTTATTACTGAAACATCATGAGGTACAGTTGTAGACTTACAAATTTTTGTGCTTGGGTTTCAATTATACAATGATCAAATACCCATCTCTCCACCAGTGCCCATTTCCCACCACCACGGATCCCAGTATCCCTCCCACCCCCCATCCCCCACCTCCCACCCTTCCTCTGTGGCAGGGCATTCCCTTTTGTTCTCTCTCTCCTTTTGGGTGTTGTGGTTTGCAAAAGAGGCAATGGGTGACAATCATGTTTGGTCTATAGTCTACTTTCAGCATGCTTATCCCATCCTGGGAGGATCCTCCCAACACCCTTTATTTGGTGCTCCCTTCTCTATCCAAACTGCCTTTTCCCCTAGCATGTGTGGCTGGCCTCCAAGCCATGGAGTAAAATTCCTGGTACTAATCTTGGCCATTCTTGGGTCTTAGTCTCTTATTTTGTTACTTTATGTTCCCCAGATGAATGCAATCTTTCTATGTCTATCCCTCTCTTTCTGAGTCATTTCACTTAACATGATACTTTCCATGTAGTACCACTTGTATGTAAATTTCATGACTTCCTCTTTTCTAACAGCTACATAGTACTCCATTGTGTAAATGTACCCAAGTTTCTTTAACCAGTCATCTGTTCTTGGGCTAATTGATGTGTCTTACTGTCCTTTTCAGCAGTTCGGGAAGGTTTTAAGCCTCCCTGTATTTGAATTTACATTTTCTCCAAAATCTGGACAATCCCTTTTATTCATGGCAAAACTGACCATCATTGTAATTCATAATTTAAGCAGCAGCTCTCAGGTATCCATCCTGTAAAAGTAGATCTGGTGAATACATTTTTACTTCATATTGGCTATATATTGAACTATAACTTTATTAGAGGAAATTAAAAATTTAGAAAGATTCAAGTTTGTAGAGAAAATCTACATACTTCTGCATGGAGAGGGGGAAACTAAATTCTTCCTTTTTAGTGAAGAATAGTGCTATTTGTTTACTCAGCCGTTGATTAAGCTGATTGAATTGGGGATGAACTCCACATGACATTTTTTTTATTCAGAATGTTAATTTTATTTTATTATTTTTTAATTGTTATTATTTTTTAATCATTGTGAGATAGCTACAAAACTTTCCTGTTTGAGTTTGGGTCATACAATGATTGATCACCCAACCCTGCACCAATTCACATCTTCCACCCAAGGTCCCGTTATCCCTCCCCACACACACACACATACACCTCCCCCTGCCTCTATGGCAGCCAATAAGGGGAAACTAATTTCTTATGAGCTGACCAATTTTTTTTTGTGTATTCTGAATAATGAATCAAGAATTCATTAGGTTGATCTTTGTTTTTCCATTACTCAAATAAATAATTTATATTTGCTCATTCAAATAAAATAATTAACAAGCACGTATTGCTCACAGAGTATAATATTACACTTGAGTGAAATGTGAAGCATAGCTCTTTCAATTCCAAGCATAGAGATGGATACGGAGTTTCGATTTCCATTGATGATCAAGAAACAGGGATGCTGCCTCATTTGCCAAGGCGTCAAAAATCAGATGGGCTGGACACGTAATGCAATTTAGAGATGATGGCTGGACTAGAGCTGTTACCAACTGTATTCCACAGAATGTCAAAAGGATGCGTAGCCACTCACCTACGAGATGGTCAGACTTCTTTGTCAAAATCCTGACCAAACGGTTTGAGGCCCTTCGTATTCCTGGAGCGAGCAGATGCCATTGGGCTAAACTAGCATGTGACAGGGACAAATGGAGAAGTTACTGGAACCCGCTTGAGCAAATGGAAGATCAACGGGATCTTGATACAAGTGACACAGTGGATTGAACTCTTTAAAGTATATACTATTATACTTCTAACACTATGCTGTTTTGATTACTATATTACTATTTTGATTATGTATTACTATTTTGATATTACTATATTACTATTTTGATTACAAATTACAATTTGAAATATAATACAAAGTTGTGGAGTGCAGTACCCCTATTTTTTACTTTGGATAACATTGGCTATTTGGATCTCTTAGATTTCCTTAAAAATGTTTTTCCCTAATTCTGTTAAAATGATTTTTATAGGAAGTGGCCTGATTTCTTTATCTAGACCTAACTATGTAAATTCTAAAAAATAAATACCTATAGGATATATTCTCATTTCTTTGTGTTTTATTCTGTTTCTTTAAATGTATTATCGTTTCAGTGTAAAAGCCTCTCACTTAGTTAAATTTATTCCTAGATATTTTATTCCTTTTAATGTATTACAACTGGTACTCTTCTTATTGTCTCATTCTGATAGTTCGCTGTTACACATAGATATGCAACGTATTTCATATTATTTTTGTGTCACCTACATGCTTTGCATCGCTATTGGTGCTGATATCCAGACCAAGGCTTTGTGAAAACAGCATTTCCCTTGGCCCCCAGATCATGGTAGTTTTCATTTACGGATCTGGGAAAGAATCGGATGTAGTTTAAAACACAAAGGCATGCCCAAATTGATGTCAGCAGGCTCCACAGGTGGCTTATGTGAAGTGGGGAGGGGAAAGAGGGTCACTTTCTCTCAACCCGCCTGGGCTACCTGGAACCGCTGGGAACACTAAGACTGATAAAGTCTGTGATAAGCCCCTATTCGGCAAGGGCCAGAGCCTCTACTGCTCCATCAGTTGACTCTCAGGCCACACCTGAAGTCCGCTT